CCAGCTGTTATTTGTTGTACAAAGCTTAATTTATTAAAAACAATGATATTTTACACAGCTTTAACATCTTTTAACAAAAAATAATTAAATTTATTTCAAAAAAATTTTTGTTTTGCCATAAAATTAATTAAAATTACCTTCATTGCCTTTAAAAACTTTGCGTAACTAAATCGTCTAAATAGCAAAAGTTGACCGCATATGGCAGCCTTGTAGAAAAGTGTTTTCAACAAAAAACCGCTATTTTTCTCATTAGAACTTTTAGCTCTCTTGTCATATCTCTCTCTTTGCCAAACAAAACAAAAAATTATTACTTCCTTTTGTTAAAAAACAACTGGCATTTGAGCGCAACACCAAATAAACAAACATTTTTAAGTAAGTTTTTTAATAAATTTATACAACAAATAAATAGTTTTAACATAAATATAAACACATTTTTAATAAATTCATAAATAAAATAATTAAAAATATATCTTTGCATTAAGAAACATTTAAAACTTCTCGTACAATAATAAGATGTCAAAAAACATTTTAAAATAAATTCTTTTACAATTTGCCGAAAACAGCAATTCTGGAAAATACAAACAGAAAAAAATCAAAAGAACATTTTGGAAATTTGTTCTAGTTCGTTTCTATATTAAAAATTCTTACCTATAAAACACAAGTATAATTAGGATGTCCGTGATTGGAATCGAATTGAATTCTTAAATTTTGAAATCTTTCATTTGTTTTTATATTGAAATACTGTACAGGTTGGTTATTGTCGAACTTAAAAGTACCCAAATAAAATTCTTCATCATTATTTTGCAAGCCCTAAAGAATGAAACATTAAAAATATTAAATTGAAAAGTTTGAAAACCGGAAGAATCTTACAAAAACTTGAAAATCTTTGGGAGCTGATGAAATATCCTCTGAAGGAGATTGTTTTTTGGTAATATGTTGCATTAAAAATTGATCTATTAACACCTAAAATAAAAAGTATTGAATCCTTTAGAGAAATTATATATAAATAGGGTTTTCTTACCTCCCTAGCCAATATTAGTGTAACTTCAGCTTTATTGTTTCTAAAACCAAACAACTACCAGGTTCCATAGTAGAGCGTAACATATTAATGGGAGGATTAGTATTAAACTCCATGCCCAACCAGGTTTTCAAAATATTGCCTGAACATATGGGTTCTGCTTTGACATTCAAAATTCTGGCTCCCAATTCTGCGGCAGCATAATTTACCCTTTCCTCCATTTGTGCTACTTCCATTTTTTGCTGGTTTTTGGAGTTTTGCGTCAAGGTAGCCGTACAATCACGCGATTTTATTTGTTTCTTTAGCGAATACAAATCATCCCATATGCCGGCCAAACGTTTTTTAATAAAGTTGTCTATTAAATCGGTTAAATATTTCGAATCGGTTTTACCATTATAGGGAGTTTCTAGAATTAAATGCTAGCCACAATGTTTACTTTAATATGGTTACAATTTTCTTTATATTTTTAAAAAGCTTACCGCTATATCATCTACTTCTTCTCTTAACCTTTCCAATTTTTTCATATTTTGCAAATTGCTGGAAACAAGGGAATAAACAAATATGCTTATTAGCAGGGTGGTTATTAGATAACAAATATAAATGCGATTAATTTCCATATTTAAGCGGTTTTGATATTAATTTATGTATAAATAATAGTTAAATATTTCAATTTATGAAAATCCTTTAATAAAATCTTATTTTTTTAACTGACATTTCGATATATGCAAACAGTCACAATAGCAAACTGGAAAACATAATTATCATTTACAATGAGCTGATGTATAACAGAGCTGGGAAGAACGAAATAAGATTATAAGTTTCATATATAACTCAAGAAATAAACAATTTTAAATTTTAATTGTTGGAGAAAATAAAAATTATACAAATTTAAATATTGAATTATAATAATTTTATGTAATTTAATAAAGAAATATTCTTGTAACTTGTTATTGTTAAACAGCTCTGTATTTGTAAAACATATGTTTTCCCTAGCTGACACACATACAAATGATTCACAATAGTATATTTTGACATTTCATGGGAAAAGAAAAAAAGAGAAAACATAAAATTTTTTTAAGTTCGGCATTTTATTGTAGAAAAAATAAGAAAATTATTAAACAACCGCCAATTATATAAAATATTTTAATAAAATAATTAAGTTCAACTGTAATATAATTATTTAATATAGAAAATTCTCTAAGCAAATACAATTTGCTTACGGAAAAGATATCGGCAAAAAAATAATAAGAACGTGTAACTTTGTTATTGAGACTACTGGCAAAAGAAAAGGCAGAAAGTGAAAAAACAACAACAAAATTGTAAACAATTCTTTTTAGAAAAGAATCCACAGAATATTTTTGCAGAAAATTTATAGTTTAAAGGAAGATGCCCTGTTGGTATTATGATAAAAATGAATTACGTGATACTCCCTCAGTGCGTGATGGCATACCATTGGAGACGGAGCGCCGCTATCGTAAAGAGGGCGCTCGCTTTATAATGACCTGTGGCACACAAATGGGTTTGGGTCATAATACCATGGCCACGGGTGTGGTTTATTTTCATAGATTCTATATGTTTCAATCGTTTAAACATTTTCCACGCTATGTGACCGCTTGCTGTTGTCTGCTGCTAGCCGGTAAAGTGGAGGAAACACCAAAGAAATGTCGTGATATAATAATGATAGCCCGTCAGCTGCTGACCGATAATCATTTTTATTCTTTTGGCAAAGAACCAAAAGAGGTAAGTTCAGTCCTTAGGTTTAATCCTTAATTATTAATTCTGTGCAAATTTCTTTATTTTTTTAGGAGGTGATTACTTTGGAACGTATTCTTTTACAAACCATTAAGTTTGATTTACAAGTGGAGCATCCCTATTCCTTTCTCTTGCGCTATGCCAAATGTTTTAAGGGCGATCAACAGAAATTACAGAAAATGGTGCAAATGGCTTGGAATTTTGTCAATGATTCGCTTAGCACGGTGGTGTGCTTACAATGGGAACCGGAAATTATAGCGGTGGCTTTAATCTACTTAGCCTCGAAACTAAGCAAGTTTACCGTAGTCGATTGGGTGGGTAGACAACCGCATCATACACGCTGGTGGGATATGTTTGTCTCTGATGTTACCATGGATATTCTGGAGGATATTTGCCATCAAGTGTTAGATTTATATCAAACAAATTCCAAAGATACCACCGAAAGTAATAGTCCTCCTCAGAAGCCACCCAGTCGGGCTGATAGCCCCACGCCCATGAAATCTTTGCCCTTGGCCAATCATTCGGGGTCTCCAGCGGGTAAAACGAAGATCGCAACAAATTCCAATTCTATGACCGCACTTAATGAACCCAATAATATACAAAGTATAAAAACAATTTCCTCAGGACCGGCTACCGCTACCACAGTACCAGCTCCCACGCCTTTAGAACATCCTGCCTCTCATGTGGCTTCAGCGGCGGCTAGTTATCATCATGTTCCACCACATCATCACTCAGCCCATCATATGTACTCGGCCGCTCCTCAAGCCATGGCCAGTCATCCTATGCATGCAATGTATCAAACAGCCCCTCCACCACCACCCGGTGCCGGCTATGTGCCCTCCGTACCAGGTGCTAATTCAGGTCCCGCTGTTATACCACCACCACTACCGCCTCCCATGATGCCCTATGGTTCTTTGCCACCTTATGGTGGCCCCTCACACTATGCCAGTGCTCCACCGCCTATGCCACCGGGAGTATCACTAGGTGGTGGTGCTCCTCCGCCACCACCACCTGGAGTTGATACTAATCCTCCTCCTCCCAGTAGGGGTGGTGGTGGCTACTATCAACCTCCACCACCTGGCAGTTATTCTGGCGGCGGTAGACAACGTTATTAAGGTTAGATACAGTTTAGTTTTTTTTTTTTGTTAAAAATTATGTTCAATTTCCTTCCGAATCATTTCACGCTAAGCAGGACAATTTATTTCAAAATTTAGGAATAAATAAAATTCTTAATTTAAGAAGATTTTGTTTTTATATGTAACAAAAAAAGAAAATAAATCTTAAAAAAACTGTAAAATGGAATTTTTCTTTGAAAATTAGAAACAAAATCTAAAGAAATTAGTTTCTTTAGAAACATCTAGCATAGGTCTGGCTCAGTAAAATTTTGAATAATTTGTTATAGAAACAAATTTAACTATACGTTTCAATTTGAGAAATTTTTACTTTTCACTCCCAAGTAACGGTTTTATTAATGGAGTACTTGTTTATTAAGCAAATGTATATTTGAATTCCTTCAGAATTCAGATATTTACCCTTTAACCGTAGAAATTTTCGAAAAAGCATTTCTATCCTTATTTTTTTCTTTTTATTTCATTTTACTGGCATGATGTTTTAAGGAAATGATGTCATCCAAACTATAGGTTGCCGGTACAAATCTGTAAAGAAAAGTTTACATTATAGACTGTATAATAAGTAATTATGATTTATACTTTCCTGTTAAGAGAACAGTTTTAAGCGGAATACACCTCAACATCTTAAGCTTTATTGAAGTATTAATTTGCCTGTCTAATTTTCTTTTCATTTCTTTTTATCATCCATATATTTAGCTATAAAGATAAAACAACAGAAAACAAATTTAGTTTACACTCACATTAGGTATAAAGTTTTAATGAATTTGTTTTTGTTTAAAGCGTTACCAGGCTATTTAAAATATTATTAATTTTTTTAACACAATTATTTGCTTTCTGCAAGACATAATAATTTGTTTTTTTTTATTTTTTTTTTTGTTGTTTATTTATTTTTGTTAATATTTATTAACTGCCGCAGCATCTGTTGTTTATATTTTTAATTATAATTTATTTTTAATGTTGTTACAACACTTAATTTAAATAATCACACATATTGAAATTGTGCTACAAAGTGTGTTTGATTCGTTATATGATTTGTTTTTGTTTTTTATAAATTTTATAAATATAATGAAGATTCCTAAGCTGTACTATTTTACTACTAGTATTGTATTTTATATAATTTTTTTTTTTTTTTTTGCTGGTATTTTAAATCGTGTTTATGTGTGGTATGACAGAATGTTTAACATTGTTTGGTTAATGTTAGAAAACCACTGGGATAATACTGTGGTATGGAAATATATTCTGGTAGTGGTCGTCGTGATGAACATGAAGAACGTTGATGAGCTTGCCGTATTATATTTGCAATTTTGCCTAAAATTTAGGAAAAATTACACATTTATTCAAAGGAGTTTTTTAAGTTTTTTTTTTCGAAAATTACCTAAAATATTAGTATCTTGATAACGTTTATCCATTTCTTTAAGAATATCCAAATTTTTATGCTGAGACCAATAATATAATATATCGGAAACTCTAACGGTTACCATTTCCATAGCGTTTATAGAAGGGTCCTTAAAAGAAATTTGTATTTTTAAATGTTAAACTAATGTTTTTAATTTTTGTTTTGATTTTAAGTTTCTTATTGCATACTTACCTTTTTAAATTGCACTAGTATTTGTTTTTGCGTTGCTTTACCTATTATCCTTTGTAACTTTAAATAATTACCCGGTCTCTTGGAGACATACATGAGAAAATCTTTAAGATTATGAAATTCTTTTAAAGTTTTTGAAATATTCGTCGTGGAACTTCCGAAATAATTTGTATTGTATTTTTTTAAACATTTCCTTAAAATGTCCATATTATAAGCGACCTGTAATTTGTCCTGTAAAAAAAGAGTACTAATTAGTGTTTAAGGTTGGAGTTATGCAATCAAAACTTACCAATGCCTGCACAAGACAAGTTTCGTTGAGATTTTGTGTGGGCACCGTAACGCTACAAGGATCAGGAGGCTTGAGATTTTTCAAAAGCTGAAAATGGTAGAAAATTTCTATTAAATAAAATACTATAAGTATTGTTTAGAAATTATTTGACAAAAAAGCTTTTTGAACAAAAAAAGCTTTTAACTAAAAATAACTTTTACTATAAAAAGTTTTTGTGAAAAAAATCTTTTTTGTACAAAAAGCTAAAATATTGCTTTGACTAAAAAGCTTTTTGAATATAAAAAAGCTTTTGACTAAAAATAATTTTTTACATAAATAAGCCTTTTTGTTCAAAAAGCTCTTTTAAATATAACAAGCTTTATTGTTCAAGAAAGCTTTTTGTATATAATTTTGTATCAAGAGGATTATTTTTTTTTCAGAAAGCTTAAATTAAGCTTTTTCCTAAAATAAAGCTCTTATACTAAGAAAGCTTTTTGACTAAATTAAAGTTTTAAAATAAAAGCTGTTTTTAGCTCATTTAATTTGATTCTAAATTCTTTAAGCTTCTTACTAAAAAAGCTTTTTCCTAAAATTATAAAGCTTTTTGGAAAAAGAAACTTTTATCTATAAAAACTTTTTTCATAAAAAAAAAACTTTTTACTAAAAGCTTTTTGTCCAAAAATTGCTTTTTGATTTAACAAACTTTTTGCCTATAAAAAGCTTTAGTGATAAAAAAAAATTATTGCACTGAAAACTTGTTTTGATCAAAAAAGCTTTTTGACTATAAACATTTGACTTTTTGAATAAAAATTGCTTTTTTCACTTTATTTTGTTATCCATCCACCTTTGATTCTAAATTCTTTAAACTTTGGTTTAAATCCTTAATATTCACCATTCCACCCTTGGCGGGCTGATGATTTTTCGTTGCTGCTGCTGTAGTTGCTGTTGCATTGGCGCTTGTAGCTCCGGTAGTCGTCGTTGTCGTTGCTTTCGTTCCACAGATCGTTTCGTTTTCTTTACTCTCCTGCACATAACAATCCCATTCCTGCCTTTTGCGAGCCTGCGAATTTAAGAATTCACATGAAAACAGCCTTGAAGTGGGAGAAGGTTGATCGTTAAAGAAGAACGTAGTAGTGGGCGAAGCACTTCTACGATATTTTGAATGTTCGGTCGATGATCGTGTGGTATTGTATAACGATAGATGACCCAAACGTTTGCGACATTTCAGGCAGCCCTGAGGATCCAAAGCTTTGCCTATGGTATTGGCTAGGAATTCTTTTTCCAAACAATCCAAGCAAGTGTCATCGGTAAAAGCATTGAATTCAGGATTTAAAATAGCCGCTGTTGAGGGGGCGGTATGAGGAGCCGAGGACAATAAAGGCTGCTTGGAGCTAGCAGCCGTATTAGCCGATAAATCACGTTCTGTGCGAAATTCCGAACAACTAACGCTGCGTTCATCGAAACTGCAGCTGGTGCCTAAAGTGCTGGTAGTTTGAAAAGCTGATCTCAATGAGTTGCGTGACTTTGAAGAATTTTTCGAAGAGGTAGATGATGTAGAAGAAAATGTTGACAAACGTTTCGGCTTAGCTCCGGTTATTTTGGAGGGTGATTTGTGTGCTAAAGTTTGCAAAGGAGCCGCCAAAGAACAATCCTTAGTAGAATTGACCACGGCCGATTCAGAGTTACATCTATTGGTGAAGTGTTCGTGTAAAGTATTTGGCAGCGAATGACTGGTATCGGCTGTTAAATTATCACTGGCAAACTCCTCCTCCAAGGGTCGCGATTCCAAAGCTGAATTCAAACGTTCTCTACCCTCATCACTTAAATCTTCATTGTAGTCTTTCTGTATTTGATCCAAATGTAAAGTAATACGTGCAAAATTTTTCGTTAATAATGATTGGGCCTGCAAAGCCTTAGGTGCCGGCGGCAGATCATCTATGGGCGATGAAAACAATTGATGCCTTTGGGTAGGTGTAACCAAATGACAGGCATCCCTTTGCAAGAGATACTGATCATTATTATCGTTAGAGCAATTTCTCTGCGCCTGATTGTATTCCAACTCCGACAAAGGATCCGGTTCGAAGTCCATTTCCAAAAAATCAGTCTCTTCATCTACTGCCGCACAACCATGCAGTAAACCAAAGTTACCACCCACCCCTGTCAAAGGCCGCAAGGGCAAATCGAATTCTGCCCCCTCACCGCGATAGGCATAAATACAATCATCCGAGTTAAGAGACAACTCCTCGGCCTCTACATCGATATCTTCCTCGAGTAGTATGAGATCATCGTCACCGTAAAAATTATCACTTATATAACTAAGATTTTCGGTGGAATTATTTAGGGAAGTACGATTCGAATGGCCGCCACCAATACCGGCTCCACCCGTTGCCGAAATAGCAAAATGATCCTCCAGCAGAGGAGGTGATAACGAAACGGCACCACACATATCGTAAGCAACATAATCAGTCTCTGTTTGTAGAAAGGAAGCGGTGTTAGCAGCAGCATCAGCTGCAGCAGCTACAGCATCTGGCGAGTCTATGTCACGGGCAGCTGAAGCTAAAGCGGAGCCATTATATGATAAGGGAAGCTGAGGAGATAGAGGGCAATAAATAGAGGAATTTAATACATTTTTATCTTTTTTAAAAATATAAATTTTCATTAAAAAAAAACAAGTTTTCTACTAAAGAAACAGTTATTAACAAAAATTTACATTAAAGAAACTGGTATACATTCAGTATTCTATTGAATAAACTTGTATACCTCTAGTCTTACATTGAAAAAACAATTATATCCAAGTTTTCTATAATAGAAACTGTTATAAACTAAATTTTCCTCTAAAGAAACTGTTATACACACATGTTTCTATTGAAGAACCTGTTAAAAACTAAGATTTCTCTTGAAGAAATTGTTATCCATAAAGTGTTCTATTGAAAAAATGTTATAACTCTAGCTTTTCGTTAAAGCAACTGGTATACATCCACTTTTCTATTCAGAAAAATGTCATGAACTATTTTTTTCTGTTATACATTCAGTTTTCTATTGAAAGAACTTATACATACCGAATTTTCTTTTCAATTAATTGTTATTCTATAAACAATTTTTATATTCTATCGATGAATCTCTTATATACTAAATTTCTTATAGAAAAAGTTTTATTCATCAACTTGTCCATAGATGAAACTGTTATACATCATGATTTTATAGAAGAATCTTTTACCCATCCAGTTTATATAAAATAAACTGTTAAAAAAAACAGTTAAACAACCAGTTTTCTTTTAAAGAAACAGTTATAAACTAAGATTTTGAAGAATAAACTTTTATACGAACAGTATTTTATAAAGAACTGTTATACACCAAGTTGAAAATAGAGGAAACTATTATATTTTTTATTGATAAACTATTTATAGTAAAACTTTTTGAAAATGAAACAATAGAAAACAATTTAGTTTTTTTCTTTCTACTATTTGTTACTGTTTCTTTAGGAAAAAATTCTCTTTTGATGACACACTAGGTATGTCCTTATAGAAAATCAATATTAATAGCATAATTTATTAACAGATTTGTTAAACGAAATAAGCTTTAAAACAAGAGTTCAATTAAATAAATTTACTGGCTGTTTTAATAACAAACAAATCAGAAAGTCTAGAGATTTTCGTTAAAACTTAGAACTCGTTTGATAAGGTCGTTTCCATAGAAAATCTCTATTTAAAAATTCATTAGTCATTTTTTCTTTCTTCACAAATTGCATTTTGAAAAACACTAATACCTCATAAACAACCCCACCTTTTCAATTGTGTTATCGCCAGCAGTGCCGCCACCTTCATCCTCTTCATTTAGTGTTACTCTGGGTAGAGTAGATGAAGCATTCAATGATGATGTACCATTCTTTTGATAAATATCACAGCTATCACACTGCCACGCCAAAGAAGAGTTTGTTGAGCTATTGTTAGTGGTGGTGGTGTTGAGGTTATTACTAGGATTAACTTTGCATTTGTGCAGTTCCTGCTCTGAATTCGTAAAGGATTTTTCAGTATTATTATTGTTATTGACATGCAAGGCAGCCAACCAAGTCGAAGTGTGAGCTGAAACGGGAGGCGTGTTAACAACAATACCGGTCGTTGCATTAACACCACCACCCACAGCACCTGCTGCAGTAGTAACACCACCTGCACCACAATTCAGAGCTCTCGTAGAAGACTCATGTTTACGTTTAGCCTCTGAGGAGGCCGGAAATTTGGCCAAGTTTTCCATAGGGTTCGCTATGTAAAATTTCTGCCCTTTAAGATTTCTTTTGTCTTCTGCACTAGAGTATGCGTCGGCGATTTTTTCTACTATTTTTAATATTACAAGTACAAGTCCTCCTCGTCGTCAACCTTTTCTTTTTCTTTTTTTCTTCTTGTTCATTCATACGACGCCTTTTTCTTTGTGGCTTTTTTTAAATGGATAGTTTAACTTATTTCATTGTTGCTGTCATAGTTCTGTTTGTTTTTTTATTCATTATATTATTGTGTCTTTTATTGCAATTGCTTGGTATTTATAAATATAACTTTTTTTACAATATTCTGCAATAAAAATTTTTAATTTTTCACTTCTTCATGTAAAAAAAGAATCTTTTGTTTTCTCTTGTAACCAGAAAATTTTGACAGCAACTGTCAAAATTTTGGTATTTTTGTTCTCTGCTGCACTGGGAGAATTGTAGTCATATCAAAGGCGAGAAAATTTCCAGTCAACGCCGTTGGTTTCTTTGTACCTTGGCAGTAGCTTAATAATAGCTATAGACGGCTTTAAAAAATATGACAAATTACAAAATAAATTTAAATTAAATACTTATAGAAAAAATGCCGTTCATTTTAAGTCCTCTTAAAAAGAACTAAAAAAATTTCAATGGCGCCAGATTTTTAAATCACAAACGGCTTTTTATATTGTTTGTTTAAAAACCAACAGATGGCGGCAATAGCAATATTATTGAAAAATTGACAAAAAGAGGGCACTAGCATATAAATTCTTAACGAAAAGTACCTTTTGTGCTTTCAGGAAAAGTACCAATACAAATAATAGTTCTCAAAAAAAAAAAAAATTATTTTAAATGGGAATACAAACGGAATGACAACCTATAATATAAGAGTTGAAATAAAAAAAGTTCTCGTGAGTTTAAAAATAAATCTCGTGAAAATGAGTTGTATAACGAGAGAAATACATAAAATAGTATTAACGAATACAAAAATTTTCTACTCTGGACGACAATCCCAATTTTAAAAATATTTGCTTCCAAAATCCCACTTTTTAAACTCTCGGATTCCGTTTTTATTTAAAATCGTTGAAAATTTAAAAACTAAACGTAGTTGAAGCCTCAGACGGCTTACAGTCGATTTTAAGCAGCCGGCGATATTTTTGTGTCAGCCGCCTTAATATTTGTCAACGCAGGGATCTAGTGGTAAACAAAAAAAATTTATGGATTTTTAATAAAAATTTGGAAATTTTTTAAAAACTTCTGCCAAAATGGACTTGTACGATGATATAGACACTAAACCCAAAACTTCGCAAATAGATGGCTGGTCGTCAGGTATTAAAATGCTGCAAACACAGCTGGCCATCAAAAAGGCCCAGCTGCCCAAAGCCAAGGAGCCCACTAAGAAACCGGTATTATTTATTTATTATTATTGAATATTTACTTTTTAATAATTTTATTATACCAAACAGTTAATGACACCGGTGGTAAATCTGAAATCAAAAAAAATACAAAGCTCTGAGGAAATTTTCCTAACCAAAAGCGAAAACAAACGCATTATAGCTGCTCAACCGCTGGTACCTTCGCTGGAAAATGTTAAAACAGATGATTGGGATTTTGTGGATGAATACGATCCACAGTGGCCGAATGAGTATGAAAAATTGAAAGAAAAACAGAATAGCAACAAAGATAAAGGTAGAGATGATCGTGAACGTGACCGGGGACGTGATAGAGATCGTGATCGGGGTGAACGAAAACGTGGCCGTAATCGTAATTCACGCAATAATGATTCACCTCCGGTGAAATTCAGTGGTTTTGGCCAGCGCATAACAGAGGAGGAACGTTACAGTCCTCCTGCACCGGGTTCCGTAGCTAATAAGGGTGGTGGAGTTGCCATTGCACCGCCACCCTCTTTACAAGAAATATCTATTGCTAATGAAGGAGATCCTTCTTCAAATGTTACTATACCCTATTCTGCTAGTTCTGTAGCCGCAAAAATTATGGCCAAATTTGGTTATAAAGATGGTCAAGGTTTGGGCAAGCAGGAGCAGGGTATGTCCATGGCTTTGCAAGTGGAAAAGACTTCTAAACGTGGTGGTCGCATTATACATGAACGTGATGTATTCTTGCCGCCACCACCGGCAGCAGCATCAGCTGCCCCTAATCCAATTGCTAACATGGGTCCCCCTACTCCCTCAACAGCGGCAGCAGCTACAAATGAAGCAGCAGAAACGGAGCCTAGTATTACAGAAATTATGAAGGCTCCTAGTAAAGTGGTGCTACTAAGAGTAAGTGTAATTATCTACAATTAAAAACATAAATGTTTTAATCTGTATTTGTCTAAGAATATGGTGGGACCTGGTGACGTAGATGAAGATTTGGAGCCAGAGGTAAAAGATGAATGCAATACCAAATACGGAGATGTTTCGAATGTTTTAATACACGAATCTTTTGGCACGGCGCCCGAAGATGCAGTTAAAATCTTTGTAGAATTTAAGCGCATAGAAAGTGCCATTAAAGGTAAGTGGTTTGTTATTGTAGTTTTTTGTCTTAAAGATTTTAGCCAATTTTTATATTGCTTCAAAAGCTGTTGTGGACTTAAATGGTCGCTTCTTTGGAGGACGTCAAGTACGAGCTGGTTTTTATAATTATGATAAATTTAAAAGTCTAGAATTGCATTAAGTTGAAAACAAAAAAATAAATACTTTAACCACATAAATTATAAATTAATGCTTTATTTGTTTTAAATAATACTTTTATGGAATGTTTGTGTGTTGCGTTAAGGGTTTAAAAACAGGATTTACTCTTCCAATGAGGCCATTTGGGGATCGTTTATGCGTTGTTGCTTATCACAAGTAAATGATATGGTTATGGCGAATCTAAAAGTATTTAATGAAAAGTTTTATTATTATTATATTATTTGTTTATGAATTCACTGAAAAATGTCTACCTTGTTCCTTCTGTAACTTTCTCCACATGATGACGATTCTCAAAACCAGAAGTAAACGCACTTACTCGACCTTTTTTAGGTTCTATGGCGGAAGTGGTGCGGTTTTTGTCAAAACCATCCACAAAAATAAAACGGCCACCTTTAAAATCTTTATTGAGAGTAGTTAGGTACAACAAAGAGGTATAATGGAATGAAGGATACGTTTCCTACAAGTGATTGATTTGAAATTTTAGTAATTTATTATTGTTTTAAGATTTCTATTTATCACCTTATCAACATGTTCGTGCCAGTATTCATCGTGAATATTTTTAGCCGTTACATTAGTAAGACGTGAGAAAAAGGTCGGCGAAGTTAAATGCAAATTAGAGGGTTCTATGCCAAATTGTTCAGCTACAGCTAACTTGATTTTTCCTTTTACTAGCTATATATAAAAAGAACAAATAAATGTTAATAAATTGCTAAAAACATATCCGTTTTAAGACAACTACTTACATTATACACTGTCAATTGTTCCGGTTTTAAAAACTTCTTTGCTTCGGGCATTTTATAAAAATTTAAATATTTTTCACCATATGATAAAGCGCCTGTATGTAAGTCCAATATAGAGGCTCCTCCCGATGATCCCGCCAAGCCTATGATATTTTTAGCCATTTCTAAAAGTATTTCAACCTCTTTCGGCTCCACTAACTTATCCGCTACAAAACGTCCACATTTTTTGGGTACACATTGGGGGAACTTTTTCATTTCCTCTTCATATTGTGAAGAACATTTAAATTTTTGCATGCGTAATGGTAATGTTTCACGTACTAAAGCAAATTTAGTTTCACGCGTTTGATTACTGGTATAGAAGTAGACTATGGTCATAACGGAAATAACAATCACAGCACGAGTCCACAGGCGATGAGTAAAGGAACTGGTGGCATGCCGGAGTTCCTCGTGGGCAGCAGCACTGGGATAGGATAGAGTAAAGGATTTTTAGTAATTGGATAATTTTTCACAATTATATAGATAGATAGATAGATATGATAGATAGATAGACAGATAGATAGATGATAGATGATAGATAGATAGATAGATAGATAGATATAGTAGATCGATAGATAGATCGATACTATATAGATCTAGATAGCTCGACTCGATCGCTCGCTCTAGCTCCTCTCGCTAGCTCGCTCGCTAGCTCGCTAGCTCGCTCGCTCTCGCTGCTCGCTCGCTCGATCTCGATCGCTCGCTCGCTCGCTCGCTCGCTCGCTCGCTCGCTCGATAGCTCGCTCGCTCGCTCGCTCGCTCGCTCGCTGCTCGCTCGCTCGCTCGCTCTCGCTCGCTCGCTCGCTCGCTCGCTCTCTCGCTCGCTCGCTCGCTCGCTCGCTCGCTCGCTCGCTCGCTCGCTCGCTCGCTCGCTCTCGCTCGCTCGCTCGCTCGCTCGCTCGCTCGCTCGCTCGCTCGCTCTATCGCTCGCTCGCTCGCTAGCGCTCGCTCGCTCGCTCGCTCGTCGCTCGCTCGCTCGCTCGCTCGCTCGCTCGCTCGCGCTGATCGCTGTCGCTCGCTCCCGTCGCTCGCCGCCTCGCTCGCTCGCTCGCTCGCTCGTTCGATCGTAGATCGCTTCTCTCGCTGGCTACGTCGCTCTCCTCGCTGCTCCTAGCTCGCTCGCTAGCTCGGCTCTCGATTTGATTAAAAGTTCTAAAGAATAGACCGAGTATTCATCCGGGGCAATCCCAAATGGAAACTTCTATCCCATAAAGATTGTATATTCTGATTTACTCTTTTAAAGGAATAAAAATGAAGTTCCTCCCTTTATAGAAAATACACTTACAATTTATTCTTTTTCTTGTCCTTTGTTCCTTTCTCCTTAATTTCATTTGTTTTCTTATCATTTTGAGTGCCATTTTGGCGTTGTCTTAAATGATTTTCACTCATTTTTTTAAGGTAAATATTGCAAAAAAATTAACTAAATTAATAACTTGAACAAATTTTACCATAAACCCCCTTGATTTTGGCCAGATGTTGTGCTTAGTATATTTAACAAGATCATGTACATGATACTGCAGTTTTGTTTATGTTTGTTTATAGTATTATAAAACTGTCAAATCGAATTATATTTGTATATAACTTTACAAAAACAACAGCTTAATGTTTTTGTAGTTTTGTTGGGGTTGGTAACAAAACAGCAAATTTATCGGCATTTTAACGATTTTATAATTACACATCTGGCATCACTGAATAGTGGTGACAATTTAACGGCAATAGCACAGAGCTGGGCATAATGAAGTTAGTTTGAAAAGTAAATTGATAAAACAACCCCAGGCAATTAATAGAATTCATTGCTTTTTTGGTTAATATTCAAAATTTGTAATTTTACTAAAATTAAACCAAATACACAGAGAAATAAATTTCATTTACAATTAAACATTTTTATAACTTTAAGGTAATTGTTTCTGATGTTATGCCGTTATATATAAAAGTATTATCCACGGGTTTAAATTGATTTGTTAGGATTTTCACCACCTCCTGGGCAGCACAGCCAGCTAAAATAGTAATATATTAATAAAACAATTAAATAAAATTAAAACGCAATGTGAAAAAAGTTAAATTTACCTATAAATGCCGAAATAGTATGAACTTCACCACCACCATAATGACAAACTTCATGAACCATATCATCCGATAAAGTGGCCTGTGTAACACCCCATTCAGCCAACATTTTACAGGCAACACTCTTAAAGCGTGCAGTATCATTTTCCACATAACAATCCCCGGGAATATTACCACATTCGGTTAGAAAACGTTCATAAGCTCTCAAAGCTATATAATGCTCGGTTAGAGTACCCTGTACATCAATATCATCTATAACGCTTAGAACACGATTATTTTTCTCATATTCATCGGAAATTTTCGAACCTCGTATAACTGTTAAACCCGACGACTCTTTACAAAACAAACGTACTGTTTTCTCCGATATAGAATCCAAAGGTAAACCCAATTCCTTGAGTATAGCCTGGCATTTGCGATAAACATTATCGGCATCTTGCATGGCTTGTTGGCGATAGATATTTTGAAGATTTATATATGACTCAGTATCGGAGGTCATATCGGGTAGGACACCCGACAGAGGTAAAATACCATTATTATCTTTTTCTATAAATTCTTTTAAGGCCTTGGCCATAATCCAAAAAGGTTTGCTTTGCTTGTTAAGATTACGACAGGCTTCATCTTCAAATATGATTTTAAGATTAGAGGGTATAGAGCCTCCCGTAAAGGCGGTATTAACAGCTTTTATAGCTTCTTCGTAGTTTTCCTCATCGTTGTTCATATCTACAAATTTTTATGAGTTGGTTGGTTCAAATTTTTAATTAACATTGCGAGTTCACTTACCTTTTCTAATCATTTCTCGTATTTGAGATTTTTCTTTATAATTTGAGGGATTTCTACCATTATTTTCCAATTGCCATTGTTTGTAATATTTGTTTAAGACCAATAGCCATGGTACCTTATTCGTTATGGTGGTAGACTGGAACATGTACATAGTATGTAAAATTTTATTTGTTTATCATGTATTATTTAAAAATCCGATTACAGTTGACAAACAACCCTGGTCTTGTGAAGTGCAAATTGTCGGAGATTTTTCTTTTGTATATATTGTGGATTTCATACTTTTCATGCACATAGTATTATTTGGCTGACGATTCGGATAAATACCTCAGAATTATTTGATTTTCTTTATTTTAAGTGTGACCGATTTTAATTTTATTATATTGTCGTGTCGCCATTTTTGAAATGTAAAAGTGACGCTATGACGTCACGGATTGCGATTTCGTCGAGAGACGAAGATGGCGAGTATGGGAAGCTTCTCAAACTTGATGGCGGTAAAGTCTCAAAAGTGCAGAGGCAAAAAAGAAATGAATGGAAGGATCAAATGAAGGCTTTGGCAACGGAAACAGCCAACAAAAAGACTGCATCTTGTGCCACTTCTCCTATGGACAAGATTGATGAATTTATGCGGGCTATGATGGGTGATGATAATCGAAATATGATTTCGGACAATTGTGATAATACTCAGAATACCTGTTCTCAAATGGAGGCGACTGAATCTAATTCTGTACCTGTTGAAGCTGCATCCAATGCTGACGTACAACAAAATATGGTAGAAGCTAAAGGGCAAAGAACTGATAATGCAAGTAAAAGTACAAACTCACAAGGTGAGAGGAAGGAAATATTCTTTTATCCTGTTGGACATATGGGTGATGTGATTGTATTATTTGACACATCTCAAGCGGAGACTGTCAATAATAAGAGAATAAGAAACGGGCTATACCTTTGGGAGAAAATTCGTGATGTACACATCATTGGTATCAAATCCATAAAGGCAATTGGTGTATCCTTGTATAGGGTCACCTTCGATTCCGTTGAGAATGCTAATAACGCTGTGCGTAACAATGATCTCGCGAAAAAGAAGATTAAACCATTTATACCACGCACATACCTCGAGACCTTTGGTGTCATACGTGATGTTCCAACATTTTTATCGGATGAGGATATAAAACGCAATATTGAATCTCCAGTGGCTGTTACCTCGGTAAAACGCTTTGAAAAACGTTTTGTTGAAGATGGTATCGAAAGATACATTCCTACTTATGCTGTCAAAATAGGTTTTTCTGGTAATGAATTACCTACTGAGCTTATCCTGAATTACACTGTCCTCAAGGTGGATCATTACTATCCACCTGTAAGACATTGTCGTAACTGTGGGCGCATTGGTCACACCCAGAATGGCTGCCGTTCTGACAAACGATGTTTAAAATGTGGTAAAAAGGGTGGTTGTGAACCATCCTGCAATATCATCAAATGTATCCTGTGTAATGGCCATGATCATAATGCCAATCAAAGACAAAAATGCCCAAAATGGAATGAAGAGGAGGAGATAAGAAAGGTGATGACTATTAAAAAACTGTCAAGAAAAGAGGTACGTGACTCATATTTCCAATCTAATACAAATAGATTCGATATCCTTGAGGATTATGACCAAAACTTTCCTCAACTAACACAACAATCTAGTATAGGTTTTAGAAATAAGGATGTTGAGGTGAATAAAATCCTTACTCCAAGACCATACAATAATGTGGTTAAGAAGCCTGTTAAGAATACACGTAGAGCTGTGATCAGGAAGCATTATGACCCCCCTGATCTTTGGGAGGCTGAATGCTCTGGTGGTGTGCTAAATCGGCCAAATATTCACAAGGTTGGCATTCTTGAAAAAACTACAACGGAATTACTGAAATTTGTAAAAGATGTTTTTTTGAAGGAGAAAAATTCACATGGTTTAAATGCCATTGCCCACTTTAATGATAGATTTGAGAAAATATACAAGGATATTGATTGTGACATTATTTCGCAATCAACCTTGAACTTTGAAAATGAAGCTGCTGCAATACAATTGCCAGTCTTTAAGGGCTAATCGCAACACTATTGAATACTTTTTGAATAATCGTGGCATAGACATAGCTTGCTTAAGTGAAGTCTATGCTCACGACACCCTAAATCAACCGCATAAACTTTTAAATTTTAATATTATTGGGAAGATTGATAGATTGGATGGATATGGAGGAGTTGCCATAGCTCTGGGAAAATCCATCCAGTACAAGAGAATTGAATACAACACACATTTGGATATATTGATAATTGAAACTATGAATCTTACGACTAACTTTGTTATTTGTTCGGTATACTTTGAACAATCTATTTCTACCTTTGATTTTAATTATGAGGTGCAAAGATTGATTGATTTTCTGCAGAATTATGAGCATGTGATACTGGCGGGTGACTTCAACGCTCGTGCCAGGAAATTTGGAGACTATGCTGACCTTCCTAGGGGAATAAAACTGGTCGATATGATCAACATGTCTAACTTCAAATGTCTGAATGATTTAAGTCCTACCTTCAAAAGAGACCTTAGTGGGTCAGTGAGTACTGTACTCGATTTAACTTTTACCAACACTGACTGTACAACGAATTGGAGTACTGAGCCTATGCTTCCTGCTGGCAGTCATCATTACCCAATAGTAATTGAAATTGTGGAGGTTAACCCTAAGGTGAAAACATTTTTGGCTAAGGGAAAATTGCTATCTGCACTAAAGGAGGTGAATTTTGACCCCAATATGAATGAAATTGAATCAGTATTTGCATATGAAATAAAACATGCCACTTATGAAATGAAGGACAGAAGAACACCTAAGGCTTGGTGGAATAATGAATTGGTGAAATTATTTCGACTTCAGCTTGCAGCTCGTAAAAAATGTGACAAATACCCGACAGTGGACAACTTTAATGAGGCTACGTCTGCAATATCGGTTTGGAAGGAGGCTGTTATTACTGCGAAAAGGAAATCCTATGAGGAACAAATTCGAAAACTGAATGAACATCCTAACTCTAGGGAAGCCTGGCGCTTTGTTGGTAGTATTAATGGTGGCAACACGCGTATCTCATCCCCTTGGAATAGCGACAACAACCAACTTTACTTACAATTTTTAAAGGAGCAAGTTCCTGTAGATGATTCTTCTAACTGTACCCATGTGATACCGGATGTCAACATTACTCGTGCATGGGATGATGGTAACCCTGCGTTTACTTTTGAGGAACTTCAGCATGTTCTACACAACAAAACTCATAAGTCTGCTGGTGGAGTGGATAAAATCACATATGATATGATCCGTGCGCTTCCGGACTATGCTAAATGCTCCCTTTTAACTGCCTTGAACGATGCTTTTTTGGAATCTAACGTTAGCGAAAAGTGGAGGACGATTAAGATAGTACCAATACCGAAAAAGGACAAGGACTTGTCGAACTATGAAAATTTCCGTCCAATTGCTTTGATATCTGTATTACTCAAAATTGTCAACATGATGATTAAGGAGAGGATGACTGAATTCATCAACGACAACTCCATTATTCCTGAAGGAAGCTTTGCCTACAGAAAAGGAAAATCATCGTCCATGTGTTTAAATGACTTCTTACACAATGCTGCAACACTGAAGCATAAGGGCTTTAAGGTCACTATTCTAGTCCTTGATATAAGCAATGCTTATAACTGCGTGAGCATCTCTATTTTGATAAAAATTTTAAACAGCCTTCAAATCCCTGAAATATATGTGGAATGGATTACGAATTTCTTATCGAAACGTACTCTGAAATTGGGCGACAAAACTATTACGGTTGACAATGGGCTTCCACAAGGAAGTTGCTTATCTCCAGTGCTTTTCAACTTGTACACAAGAAGGTTACATGAAATTCAAGATGACAATACCTTATTGTATCAATTTGCTGATGACTTTACGATTGTATCATTTGATAAAGATTTTGATTTGGCTGTCGAAAATTTAAGGTCCAAAATAGGTCAGTTTATGAAAATCTGCAAATCCCTGAACCTATCGTTTAATCCGGACAAGACAAGGACTATGTACCTTGCCAAAGGAAGCATAAAGAAAATTCAGATCAAAATTGACAACAAGGAAATTGAACAGGTTAAGAAGATTAAGTTGCTTGGCAGAACTATTAATGCGTCACTCACTGTTGGAGAACACTATGATCGAGTTTTATCTGAATCCAAAAGTGGTATTGGCTTGATAAGTAAATTAACCACCATAAAAAGTGGTTTATCGCCTAAGGTTGCTTTGAATTTATACAAAAGTTTCGTTCGGTCCAAAGTGGAATATTCCAGGACTACTGCTGCTCACACACCGAATTCAATCAATCGCAAAATAACAACATTTCAAAATAAAATTCTTAGAAGATGTCTTGGACTGAAAAGATCTACACCGATTCAGGTAATTTATGCACTGGCTGATGAACTTCCTCCTTCCGAGAGAAGTATTTATTTAACTGCGAGGGAAATAATGAAACTCAAGGTACAGGAGAATCCCACATATGAACTGATCACTGATCATCCTAAGGTCAAATCGAGCTACAGCAATGTTTATTATGAGTTTAAATCTATTTTTGATCGAGTTAACACAGGCTGTAAATGTGAAAAGAATAACGGTTTTACTGCTTATACAAATCTACTCCCGGATCGGAAGGATAATATTCCAACAGAGCAGAGCAGGGCCTTGGCCAATTACAAGCTACGCGAATATGAAAACAATGGATTCAAAATATATGCTACTGATGCCTCCATTGGCGATAATGCAACTGGTTGTGGAGTTTTTGAGATCCACTCGGGCAACAAGTTCTATTTTAAAATTGATCATCCGACTTCCAGTTTATTTGGTGAATTATGGGCCATCATCAAGGCCACTGAAATCGCAATACAAAATGATGTTAGAAAGGTGGCAATCTTCACGGACAGTATGTCAGCGTGTCGACTTTTAAATTCCAATACGATTGATAATTATTGTGCTGCAATTTTTCACAACAAACTTGACCAATCTTATATCGAGCAATTCCATATGATTTGGATCCCTAGTCATGTGGGCATAAGAATAAATGAAATGGCTGACGAAATAGCCAAAATGGCAGTGGACACTGGTGATGTAATAGCTGTTGATCTCACCCCTCAGGAGGCGCTACGGGAAATCCGCAACACCCTGCGCAATAAATGGAACGAAAGATTTTCGGACATGTCCAATGGTACTGGTAAACTTTTTGCTGAAATTTTTCCATCTATTCTGGAAAAACCGTGGTATTCGAAATGTGATTGGTGTCCTAAGGACATAAAGACTATGAATAGATTACTATCTGGTCATGTATATGACGGTAAATACTCGGACAACGGCTACACATGTTCGATCTGTAATGTTGATAGGACTCCTCAACATTTGATTTTTGAATGTTCAAAATTTGACAACATTAGGAATAAATTTTCCATCTTCAAATCTTATGGCAATTTGCAAGTATTGCTCAAGACCAGGAATCTTGAAATTTTCAAACTGTTAATATCGTTTATAGATGAAGCTAAAATTGAGCTATGAATTTCTTACAGTGTGACAACCTGGCAATTTGAGTATCTACTCGCCAACCATCAGCAGAACCAAAAAAAAAAAAAAAAAAAAAAAAAAAAAAAAAAATCCGATTATTACCTCTAAATGTTTGCGTAGCGTGTCAAAAGGCTGTTCCAATCTTAAATCGTATTGTGCATTGTCTGGATGAGACTCTACTACACAATGCTCCTTAATTTGCAATCTAATTGAACCAAAAAATCCCAATGAACGACAGTAGACTAAGGGAACATTAGCTTCCCATAAACAATTGGATAATTGTAAAAGAGAATTTTCATTTAAATTTGAGGCAATAACCACATCAAAATTATCAAAAAAGGCAGGACGATTGGCTAATATATAGTCCACACTCTCCTCTACACAATCACCATTAACATCGCTATTTAATTCCTGTAACAACTGCATACAGGAGGCAGCACGCGATTGACCCACATTGCTGGCTTCCACAAAAAAGCTAAAAACAATACAATGCTATTAATGAACCCCATATGGTTATTACAAAAACAAAACCTTACTTTATACCCAAATCTTCTTCGGTTACCACATTGCCATCAACAATAGTAAAGCTGCCTATACCAGGCAGTACTAAACCTTTAAGCACTTCACAGCCCAAACCAGTGGCATTAACTAGGCATATTTTGGCACTCTCCAACAAGGACTGGCCATGTTCACCCCATAAACTAAAGAAATTTCAATTTATTAACTTGTTTTTCTACGAAATTTTCCATTAATTACCGTATCTGACGATCATATTTTTTATTTTTATCCGATTGTTCGGGAGATTTTGGCGCCGGTGATGACATGTTTTTAAAATCGTCTAAAATTTTGCTTTAAGCTGAAGTTATATGAGTAACGAAACCACTTTTTTAAGTAAAATTAACTTATTTGTATAAATATAACTTATGGCAAATAAAACATTAATGCACTCACAGCCGGCGAACTAAAAAACACAAATATTTCACAGCTGTGGTGAAATATAATAACAACATTTTGACATCTCTGACTAATCATTAATATGGGGAAGCATAGAAAACAAACAGATTCCAAAACTAAATAAAATATCCTGGCAAAATACCATTTTTGTTAAAAATATAGAATTTTTATTAAAAAAATAGTTTTTACCAAACAAATTCTACCAAAAATCTAAAATTTTAAACGAAAAATTATTAATTTCGAACAAATTAACCCAATTTTTTAATATTTTATTAAAACTTACAAAAAATAAAAACTATAAACAATTTCACCATTTAATATTTAAAGCAGTATTCATTTTTTCCACAGCATGATAATTTGTATGTAATAACATTTTTGCTTTATCAGTATGTGAGCCATCAAAGAAATTATTATATATTGACTTTGTACAAGCATTATTTGGATTTGACTGAGGCAATTGACGATAAAGTTGTTCCAATTGTACGGTTAAGTCTCTAACATGTTGGCCATTGGGTGGTCTAATTTGGGCGCCACCATTAATGCAACCTATAAAATTAAATTATTTTAGTCTATACGAAAAATAATTTAAAAAAATGTATACTCACCAGAAGGACAAGCCATAACTTCTACGAAATGATATTGTACCTTACCACGTTTAAGTTTTTGCACTAAATTTTGTATATTACGAAAACCATTGGCTATAGCAAATTTAAGCACACATTTTCCATCAATTTCTAAAGAGGCTTCACGAAAATCTGGATTCCTGGAAAAAAATTATTCATTTCTTTTCCTAATCTTTTTTCTAACACTTAAAATACCTTAAATTTTTATATTCCACTGTTATTAAATCCTGTTCAAATAATTCTTTTGCTGCATATTTAAAAATGTGTTCCGAGTAGCCACCAGAAGTACTACTTTCATGAGCCCATATATTAGTATCTGCCATTTCATTTGCTTCAGACCAAGGCCAGTCAAAATTAGAAATAGGAAAGCTTTGCAAAGGATCTTCATTTAGCATTTGTTCAATTTCAACTGAAGAAAATTTGATTTTTTTTTGTTTAGTAATAAATATAATATAAAATTAATATTACTTACTTGAAGTAATAACACAATCCACATCCCGGCAATTTAAAGCTTCATTATAGAAATCTTCTCTTGAGGCCTCCAATTTTTTATCATAACAGGGCATAATGGTGACATGATAAATTTTATCCGAAGAAATATTCAACTTTTCAGCCAACATTTGCTTAACCAAAACACCCATAATTTGTTGAGGTGAACGTGTTGTAGCTATATAGGGTAATATAAAAGTTCCATGTGTTTTTTCGGCATAACAAACCCAACCCGGGCAGGAGGATGACAACATAGGAAATGGTTTACTGGGGTCATTATCACGAAAACGTTCAATAAATTCATTACGACATTCTAGTAAAGCCATATCATCAGCTACTTTTGTGGTAAGAACATAATCAGCTCCCAATTGTCTTAGATAACCGCTTAAATGTTCGGCCGCCTTTTCCACTGTTAAGCCATAACGTTGTGCCAGACTTATTATAGGTTGTTGAGAAACAGTAAAAACTATTTTGCGTGCTTGTTCAATAGTAGTTTCATTTGCCTTTAACTCTTTATTTTCTTGTAATACTTTGAAAACCTCTTCCTGACTTTGTTGTGTGATCAGTACTCCTTCGGCTGAGGTTATACAACCAGAACATGCCAAACAATCTTGTAAAGTGATTTCTACTTTTTGCAATTTTTGTTTTCCTGCCTGTAATATTATATATCTTATATAGATTTAATGATTTTAATCTAATAATAACTTACTGCCGTTTCTTCATAGTAACCGTCTTCCTGGATTGATATTTTTGCCCCCGTCTTAGTTTTAGTTTTTTCGATAGTGACGGGTTTTATACATTCCTTAAAAAGATAAATTTATTGAATTAAAACATTGTATAGAATACTAGGTTTACCCAGTCCACTTTGCTGAAGTAACATTTTCATTAGGGAAACATTCCCTTAGTTAATACTATGCTGTATGTGCGTATAAAAAGTTAAATCCTTTAATAATCTTTAACTAAATTAAGTCTCACCTGCGAAGGTGTTATAAAATCATCAAGATCTGTTAGTTGTAATGCTCCACTAAAACGCGACATATTATACTTCTAATTCACAAATTTATTAAAAATTCTTAAATTATTAGAAAAACAAAATTTTTTTAACACTGTGTTTATAAAAACAACCAACACTTATCGATATTAAACTGACTGTCATATGGTCAAGAGAAAATGTTGCCAGCTTATTTTTAAACCATAGAGGTGAATATGTCAAACATAAGCGATGACACTTTTAGAAAAGTGGCTATCTTTGCATATCGATTAACAAACAATTATACAATTACCATCACTATGCCGCAAAAATGTAAACAAACTTTGTTTTTTTTTTTTGCAATTTTTAAGTAAATTTGTAGGTTTTTTAAATTTTATTAGAAATGTTAGAAACAACAGAACCTTGTACATCCAAAGCAGCTAGATTAAATACTTTAAGCAGTAATGTAGCGGATAATGACGTGGAAATGCAGGAATTGGAAGATAACCAAGATAGTTCCTCTTTGTGGTGCATAGAAGATGACAGCATGTTTTATGCCCAAGGTTTAAAACATCACAGTGCCGGCAAAGGAAAATCGGTGTATGTAACATGGAATGAAAATTATTTACTTAATTTTGTGTTCAAAACTTCCAGTAAATCGGGCGCTACTACACTAACAAAAGTACGTATTGCACTGCCAGAGCATGAGCAAGAATTGGAAGAAATAGCTAATATGTTAATATTAGAAATGAATACTTTACTTTGTATGAAAAGTGGTCGTGTCTACTATTTTAGTTCTGTTAAATCTATGCATAAAGTTGATTGGTTAACAGGGGTACGTTGTATGTCACCCTGTCCGGGCACACAGTTCAGTGTTATACGTTTAATAAAACAGGGAGAGGAAGCGGATGTTAAACAGCAAAGTCTACTTTGTTTAGAGGTTTATAAGGATGTGCCACAATTGGGTAAATGTTGCAGTGATCAACAGGTTTTATGCCATAGTTATGATATTAGTTTTGATGTGGACAATCTCTTCAATTGTGATTGGAGACAAGAAACCTATACCTTAACCTCTTTAATAACAGATAAAAGAAATATAGAATTCCTAAAACAGCTGGTATCTATTGGAAATATATTTCGTTCGAAAGAGGAAGTGATAGAATTGGAAATTAATCAAGAAGTGCATATTTTTACTGTATCTGGTAATCTGTTACTTTTGGCAGGAGGTAAGAGTTAATAAATTTAATAAAAACAGAATTAAATTGTAATAAAAATTTTCTTTAGCTTTAGTGGCAGAAAGTGATTCCTTGGAAGGCCATGCACAAGTGGAAGATTTTGGTATACGTCTGCTTAATACTTATGCTTGTCATATCGAATGTATACGTATTGATTGTGAAAAGAATTTGCTCATAGTTCTTTTACAATCAGGTCATCTGGATATATGGTACAAAAGCCAGCGAATGTTAGGAGCCATTTATCATCAACAACATCAACTGACACAGTTTTTATATTACGACTACTGGCCTGCAAAAAATATTTTCTACTTTACCACTCCTGATGAGGTAATACAATTGAAAATTCTAACCTCTCCACAAGAGACCAAAGAACAGGAGTGTATTATTAAAGAAACACGCAAGTCTATAGCTGGCATGATTGCTTGTACCTGGGTGGAAAGTTTACAACAATTAATATGTTTAAGTTTTAATAACATCTTTTATCGCATACATTTTACCTCAACCCCCGAAAGATTGGAGTATTCCGAAGCTAATGAAACAAACTATGAAAATTTAAATAATTTATATGCCTTAAATACAAAACGCGTTAAGGAACTTACTGCCAAAGCACAAATTGTTAATGACTTAATAGAACAACCCAAACAGCTGCACAATGGCATAGAAAAAGAATTTGAAAAACAACAACTTTTATCACTTTCCACAAAAAGTGAAATTTTTCAAAAATTATTTCAAACACATTTGGAATATCATGTGAATATACCGCATATTAGCTATTTCGGCAAAGACTGTATAACTATAAGAACTAACAGACATTACACACATCACTCGAATGAAAAAGCCACCATTTATAGCTTAATTTTTCTATCCTTAAAAAATAAACATAAATTTCTCTCTTCCATATTTATCTCTACCATATGGTATTTGCACATTACCAATTCACAGCAAAGTTTACAATTACATTTGCCCTTTGAACTAATAAACAAAAATCTTTGTTTTATACTCGACACACCTTCAAATCATCTCGATAAACCTATATTAACAAATTATTCTTTAAATCTCTTGTGTTTTGTTAGTCATCAGTCTCAACATATGGCTTTGAAATTTAAATTATGTTTGGAAACCAATGAGAGAACTTACATAAATTTATTTAGCTTTAACATACAAAATTTGCCAATATTTCATAATTTTTATGAAGATATTGAGAGATTACTTAAAAAACACTCTGATAACGCAAATAAAACGAATGCTGTAGAAGAAGAGTCTGGGAAAAATGTGTACAAACTTAAACATTTCTTTAAAATATCTAAAAATGTTTTACTAACTACTATGGAAAAACTTGAAGCTCAATGGACGTCTTTAGTCGGAGTGGCTTTTGAAATATACTATCTTCATGAACATTTAATTGAGTTGAATTATGATGATTCGAAGGAAATTTTACAAATATCTTCTAATTATCCGTTAGCAATATTTTATATTAAAATGTTGCTACTACATGCCCAACAGCAGCAGGAGTCTGCTAAGGACTTGGTTATGGTGGACACTTCTTTGCCAAAAATGCTAGAAATGATTATGGTGAGTTTTGAAACTGAATTTAAAACAAAAATATTTTTGGGGAGTATTCCAAAATTTTGGAGAAAATTTGAAATTTTTGTTAAAATTTTAATTTTAGTAAAAATTATTTTTTTATTTTTTTTTTTATTTATAAATTTATTATAAATTTATTTATTTTATTGATTGAAATTTGAAATTGTAGTGAAAATTCGACATTTTTGGTAAAATTTAAATTTTAGTAAAAATTATTTTTTTTTTTTATTGATAATTGATAAATTTTTAAGGAAAATTTGAGTTTTTTGTAAAATCTTAAATTTTCAGTGAAAACATGAATTTAAAAAAAAAATAAAAAATTAAGTGAAACATGAGTTTTTACTAAAAATTGGATTTTTTAGTGAAAAATTGAATTTTTAATGAATGTTTTGAAATTTTAATTTTTAATGAAAAATTTAATTTTTAATGAAAATTTTAATTTTTAATGAAAATTTTAATTTTTAATGAAAATTTTAATTTTTAACGAAAATTTTAATTTTTAATGAAAATTTTAATTTTCATTAAAAATTAAAATTTTTAGTGAAAATTTTAATTTTTAATGAAAATTTAAATTTTTGGAGAAAATTTTAATTTATAGAGAACATTTACAGTTAAAAATTTGAATTCTTATGAAAATTTTAATTTCTTGTTGAACATTTGAATTTTTGGTGAAAATATAAATTTTTAACGAAAATTTGAATTTTTGGTGAAAATTTGAATTGATTTGGGAAAAAATTCAGTTTTTGAAAAATTTCAATTTAATTTTTTTTTTTAGATTTAACCATTTTAAGTTTCTTAAAGAAAAGCTTATAGGAATATTGTTTTCTTATATAAATTTTATACAAATAAAGTTTTCTTACAGAAAAGTTTATTTAGATTATGTTTTCCTATAGGAAAGTTTATCCGGATAAAGTTTTATTATGGAAAAGGTTATCCGGATGAAGTTTTATTATGTACAAATTTATCTAGATAAAGTAAATATAGAAAGTATATGTATAGTGTTGAAAAGCTTATTGGGATAAAGTTTTCTTATGCGGATAAAGATTTCTTATACAAAATCTACGGATAAGGTTCAATTGTAGAAAAGTTTATCCATTAGATACATTTATACGGATAAAGGTTTTTATAGAAAAGCTTATAAAGATAAAAGGTTTTCTAGATAAAATTTTCTTATAGCGTAATATATCCGCATTTCCAACTTCTCTGTTCTAATTCTTAATTAACGTGTATTATTTAATTTTTATTTACAGAGTTACCAAAGCGATATAGAACAATTATATGGTTCATTAGTATCGCCAGAATCGGAGGAAATGAATTCCAATACGATTTCTATGCACTTAGAAAATTTACAAAATATTTATGCCAAAATACGTCAAGAATTTTACGATATATTTAGATAGCTAAAGTTAAGTTTATTATACCTAATGTTTAAGTGTAAATATAGTTATATTATTAGTTGCAAAAATCTTGTGAGATTATACATATATGTATTTATTAGATATTTAAGTTTATGTTTAGAATAAATTAATACGATTGGGTTAAGAGTTATTTGAAATACAATACTATTTTTATATTAACTTTTTAATTGTTTATTTTATTTTTTTTTATTATTAATCAGCCACAACCCTAATAAAGATTTGTAATGTTTTTAAAATTCCAAATATTTTAAAAAATATATATGAAGAGTTTAGACGGATAAAGTTTTTCTATAGAAAAGTTTAGTTTTTAGTTTGAGAAATCTCAATTTTCACGTTCCCTACTTAATTTACCAAAGAAACCCTATTTATAGTTACACATAAATACAACCCTGCACTGTTTGATATCACCAGCAGAGACTTGCGCCGATTCGGCTTAAGCCGACTAAGCCTAGCCGCCGAACAAAATGTCAAAGCCGCCGCCGCCGAAAATTTTTCAGCTTAATACGGCTTGAAAATTTCGCCATATTTTGTACAATTTACAGAATACTTTCGCTAAATTTGTGGAATTTTACAATATAAAATTAATTTGTTTTCATTTAAGCAAGTTTTCTTTTATCTAATAATAAGCCGCTCATTGAAATTTGGCCGGTGTAGAACTTTGCTCAACGTTCGATGTATATGCTTCGCCTCAGATATTTTCGTGTTTTCGCGCCTAATTCGAGTCGCTGCTTTGACTTCAAACCAGTTTCGTTGACGTCAACGGAGCTACACCTTTTTACATTGCTGGTATGTCATACCGTAAAGGGCTAGGGTATCGAACATGTGTAATTCAAATGGGAAGTGCAGTTGATGTCAATTCTGCCGACTGCGAAAAGAAATTCTGCTAGAATTTTTCGCGCCAAGCTGTTTTCTGCATTTTTTATTTGCCACAAAAAATCTGTTGTTGTGTGTGTGCGAAAATCTAAAATGACAGAAATGATATTCTTTAAATAAAAAATAATAATTGTGGGCTTTATGTCGACTTTAGATCCCTTATAGTTGTCACACTATACCAAATAAGCATTCTTGCTGGAATTAAAGTTTAAAACAAGTTTAATTCCAGTCAAACATTCAAATTTCAAGTGTTGAAATTCACTTTCATTACACTTTAATTCAATAGCATTCTCCAGTGAAAACGAAACTTGAATTCAAGTCGAACATTAGAATGTTTTTACAGTATAATTCAATGCACGAAATCTATATACATACATACGTACATATATAAAATTCTAACGTTACTGACTGACTGACTGATTCATCATCGTAGAGCCTAAACGGTTTTAGCTAAAGAGCTTGGTCTCCCACCAAATAGATCCACTTAGACGGGATTTTTGGAAATTCGAATGATTAGGGGGTTAAAAATGGTAAAAACGGGTAAATTCGGTAACCTCATATCTCCTAAACTATAAAAGATACAAAAACAGTTTAAAGCTTATCGTCGTTCATTTAAAAAATAAGCGGGCAGGTGTCTGGTACTTTTTTCAAATTCGGCCCCTTTGGGGAATTAACGGGTAGAAACTGTAATTTGGTACTTCTTTTGCACCCCATGTATCTTTTAAACCAGAGAACATTCAAAAAATATTTTTGAATCCTTCATAACTTGACGAACAAATAAAAATATAAATTTAGTACTTTTTGGATATTCGGACGTTTAAGGGGTGAAAATTGTACCTATTTTTGATACTTTTTTATAAAACATTGTTTTTGGTTTATTAACTTATACATATGAATACATAATAACGGGCTCCCAATACGATGTTGCAACTGGTACTTTTTTGACTTAGAACTTAGAAACATGTAATTAAGCACTTGAGAATCTATAAAAGTGGACTTTTTGGTACTTTTTCGTTCTTCAAAAGGTACTTTTTGAGTTTTCTATTTTTCGTTCTTCGACTGGTACTTTTTGAATTTTTTATAATATTGAACCTAGAAACATGAATTTAGGAATGTACAGCCCGGATTAAGTAATAACATATAAAAGGGAACTTTTTGGTACTTTTTCGTTCTTCAAAAGGTATTTTTTGAATTTTCTATAATATTGAACATGGAGTAAGTGAGAACATATAAAACGGGACTTTTTGGTACTTTTTCGTTCTTCAACTTGTACTATTTGGATTTTCTTTTATAATGAACCTAAAAACATAAAACTAAGCAATCAGGGACTTGAGTGAATGAAAATTTAAACTGGAGTATTTCTGGTAATTTTTCGTTCTTTAACTGGTACTTTTTGAATTTTCTAAAATATTGAATATATAAACATAAAATTAAACACGCAGTATCCTAATTGAACGAAAATTTATCTCGCTTACGTCCATTTTGCAAAAAGGGCTCGATATCAATCGAAATCTCTATAGGCCATAGTTGACCCTGCCCCCTTCAATAATTGATTTTAACGTTTTCTACGTACTTAATAATACCATAATAAAACAATTTTTGTTGGAACGTAAATATGTAATGAAATCTTCTTCAGAAAATGACTTAAACGCACATAAATGGCTTTCAAATGTCGATGTCGACGAAATAAACATTTTTAGGAACCGAAACCCACATTTATGAAAAATAAAATTATGAGGATCGGTCCGCCAATATAACCCTCTGACAGAAAATCAGTTTATAGCTAATACATCATTCCAAAAGTTATCATTATGATAGAATTATGGTAGAATTAAAAAAAAAATACTTTAGATTATATATATTATTGATCCAATTCCACATTTAAGTCCCTAATCCGAAAATCACGGTGACGTTCTTATTAATCTAATGATCGGACCACTTCCGAAATTTGCTTTTTTACGACATATGATTTGCCTTACTTATTTTAATCATAAAATACCACTAAAATAGGAATAGTCTTCCTTTAGAGTTGCGAGTTTTCATACATTCTAATAATGTTTTCAAAGTGAAACTTTTGGAATATTTTTCAATCTCTTTGTGATCCCTTTAAATGATGTTGTTCTCCCATATGAATTGAATACAAAAATTCGTTTATCTGGGAAACTAATATAACTAAATTCTTCAAATTTTGCACGAACAACTTTAATATTCATCTGAACATTTTGGAGAAAAAAGGGCGGACTTTCATCTGGGGGGCTTGGAGCTCCCATATGAATTAAATAGAAAAATTCGTATATCTGAGAAACTATTAGAGCTAGAATCTTCAAATTTTACTGAAGAACATTTAGAGAATAACGGGCGGACTTTCAATGGGGGGCTTGGCACTTCCCATATGAATTAAATACAAAATTTTGTATATCTGGAAACTATTAGATTATACAAATTTTTTATAGATTAAATTAAAATCTTAATTAACGTTCGGAATAATTGGCGAAATTGCAATAATTTGCGTGGAATCTCCCATATGTAACAAATTGTATATCTGGAAAACCATTGTAGTTAGAATCATCAAAATTATTAAGTAGGTTTCTTATTTATATTGCTTTTAGGGTAGCACAGCACACTGGGTATAGCTAGTAAATAAACAAATAAAATATCTTTGTTTTTACGTTATTGATCATTTTCTTAATGCAACATTTTTTAGAAACTGATTTTCTGCAAGATGTTTTATATGGAAGATAGGGTTAAATATCGGCAGATCCTAGTAAAACTTGGAGAAAGGATTTGTTTTTAATTTTTAAGAATTTTTTATTCATCCCTGCATAATTTCTCATGCAACTTTTGAGTTTGCTCTGTTTTGTTGTTATAAACAATATATTTGCTTCCAAAATCCTACTTTCTGATCTCTCGGATTCCGTTTTTATTTAAAATCGTTGAAAAATTAAAAACTAAACGTAGTTGAAAACAAAGCCGGCTTACAGTCGATTTTAAGCCGCCGCCGACATATTCAGTGTCAGTCGCCGCCGCCGTTAATATTTGTCGGCGCAGGGCTCTGATCACCAGTACATAACAGGATTACCAATATTAAGTAAAAGAAAAAATATAGCGGGAAATATGCTATAGTAGGGTTCTATAGTTGAAACGAAAAGTCGACTTTTCGACTTTTTCCGACTTTTCGACTTTTTCTGACTTTTCGATTTTTTTCGACTGTTCGACTTTTTTCGACTGTTCGACTTTTTTCGACTTTTCACCTTTTTTCGACTTCGAATTTTTTCGACTCTCCGATTTTTTGACTTTTCGACTATTTTCGACTTTTATTTACAAAGTCGACTTTTCTACTTTTTTCATAGACGATAGTCGAGTTATCGACTTTTTTGGAACAAAATAGTCGACTTCGACTTTTTTCGACAAAAAGTCGATTATTCGAAAGTCGATTTATAGAACCCTATGCTATAAGCAGCGCAAGTGGTTAATGCAGTTGTATGCATCAAAGTGGCGATTCACACAGAGAAACTTTTTTGGAAAACTTTTGATTTTGTTTGTGGGAGAAAGAAATGGTTGTTATTTCGTTCACAAAAGTTTTCCTGTGTGAATCTTTGTATATATCTCATTTTAAAACAAAGGGGACTCTATAAAATTTATTACATATTTATATGTATTAATTATCGTTGTATTTTGTTCTTTCTTAATTAGAAATTAAATTCATTTTTTCGATGAAAACATTCAACATGAATTAATAGCCAATAGTCGTATTTCTGTGTCCTAGACACTACGCAGTGTTGCATAAGAAAATCTTGATAGAAAATTGCATTTTTGACATATTTCAAGTTAAATCTAGTAGATTAAATAGATTTGGATCTATAAAAAATATATAGAAAATCTGATTTCAATTATTTTTGCCTAAACCAACTAGATTTGCCCAAAAAACGCCTCAGTTGAAACATAGCATTAGCCGTCTTACAATTGATTTTAAGACGCCGCCAACATTTATATTGTCAGACATCGTCATCGCCGTCGTAAATGTTTATCGGCACAGCTCTTTGACAGTCGCTTTGTAAGCGGAAAAGAAAATCGCTGAAAAATACAAGTTTTAATAAATATTTTCTACAAAATTTATTAAAAACATTAACAGTAAACATAAATCTTTAGCAGGAATATAAAAGTTCAATAGAAAAAGTGAGTTTTCAACAAAAATAAGAACGGGTAAAAAATACCTAATGGAAAAATAAAGAAATTGTGAATATAAGAAGA